TTTACAATTCTTCCTTACAGACAACGTTCCAAGACACTAAAGCCCAGTGTCCACCAAGCAGTACTGTACAGTTCAGTTCAGTATACTTTTTTTCTGTTTCCACTGTGAAAAGTTGTGGATGGTACCAATGAAACTTTTCCTTACCGTCCCAATTGTGGGTCCCCCCTCTGGTGGGGTACCTAGCACACAGATCTGATACTAAAAGGTGGAGCTGTGAACACTATAGTCCGTTGACTGTTCGATAGCGGACAGTCACTGTGCTCAGGGCTGAGTTGTGACTGGTATTGAGGGTTACATAACCACTGTTCTGTGCCACCGGTAATGAGGAAATATAATGAGTGCTGGACGAAGCAGAGACAACAACCCCGCCCACATTTAAGGGTGCTGAAGTGGAAACGCTAGGTCTAGGTACCATATCTGAAGGGTTACTTTTGGCTCCAAAGGTACTATACCGAAAGTGTGTGGTGGAAGCAGGGCTTAAATGTGTCGAGGGGTTACGTGCTATATCCAGTTATGTCAAAATTGTGTTTTTACACAATGTGTGTGTTCAGGATATCAACAGTTAACCATTAATTAGTTAGGTACCGAGAATATTTTTGACTGGTTACACACCTTGGTCTACAGGATTATTTCACTACTTTTAAGTTTAGTGCACCGCCCACCACCTGGATCTGGTGGAAGCTAGCTAGTGGTGCCACTCATTCGTCTATTACGGCTAATAACTCCGGGCCAACCCAACAGCTTTGCTTTAGGAACATTGTGCCCACTAGGACTGCACAATATATCAAAAAAATTTACCTTCATCATGATATCAACTTGTGCGATATAGGTATAGCAAAAAACTGCTTGATTGCGATAAATATTGTATTTAGATGTGCCATGTATTCACAAGCTGCATGACGTGTTATAACAGTGGTGTCAGGTGACTTCAGTCCTACTAGTTTATGGAATACTTATCATGGCACAGAAACCACCGAGAGTGAAACTTGTGTTTTGGATGTTAGTATCATTCTGTTTGAGATGTGTTGGTGTTTTTGTTCTGGTGCACTGCACAGATCTTACACCTGTCTGCCCGCCCACCTGTTCTCAGCTCTCCGAAGCTTGGTGTGCCGCTGTTTTCTGGTAAATGCGGCAGGTGACACAGAGGTCACTGGGAACTGCCAGTAAACAATAACCTTGTATTTTTGAGGTTCAGAAAATACAACCAAATTCACAAATATGTAGGATATTACAACAGACATCCAATTTTATCTTAAGTTGCAATGTCTGCTGTGACAGCAGATGTTATATTCACTTATGTCAGGGACGATGGTGCTTTACCATCCAGGGGATGCGCCTTGGTTTTTGCTATATTATCATATGATCATATGATTGTGCTACTGATCGATACTGTATTGACTCATGTTGATGATGATCTAGTGACGTTTTACTGTCCAAGCAAAATGCTGTATTAAAAAAATGCTTCTATATTTGTTTATTTATTGTGAGTCATATTGTCAGTATTTAACAATGTTATCACAAATCCCATGCTTTCCTGATATTGCGTAGCCTTAGTGCCCACCCTTCAGTCCCCCCCTAGGTTGCCCCGGTGGATAAGTTGCTCAATTTTGAGCCGCCAAAACCCCCTTTCAGCATTTTGAGCTATGTTTTCATGGTTTGCTCTGTTAGCACAGTTAGCAGCGTAAGCATGGCGAGTGGTGCTGACAGTTAACAATGCTAAAGTGGTTTATTGCTCAAAATGAAACTGCTTACTCACCAGGGCTACCTGGAATGAGACTGGTGGGTGGCTACCATGTTGCTGAAGCAACAGCACATTATTACTGAGATTGCATTACCCGTGGTAATTGCCAAATGACCGGCAATGCTAGCTAGCCCCCACATGACCCGGGGCTAACCAGTGGAGACCAGAGGGTGGGCAGTATGTTTCTATATGTTAGCACAGCTAGCTGACTGTCTTGTCAGCAAAGCCAGCAGAAAATAAAATAAAAGAAGAAGAAATTTACATCACAAGACATTCAGATTTCACCACATCTAAATGGATAGTGCGGTGAATTCACTGAGTCAGTGGAGCGCCAAACTAAAGTAAAGGCCTCCTGTTTTTTTTTGTTTTGTTTTGTTTTTTAAGATTATTTTTTGGGGGCCTTTTGCCTTTAATGGATAGGACAGTATGAAATGGGGTGAGAGAGAGAGTGGGGGGATGACATGCAGCAAATGGTTGCAAGCCGGAGTCGACCCCGCAACTGCTGCAGCGAGGCATTGCCTCTGTACATGGGACGTCGGCACTATCCACTGTTCTACTGATGCCCTGTAAAGGCCTCTTGTTATGTTGTGTTTTTTATTCTGCTTTAGAATTAACTGGTTACTTACTGTTAAATGGGTGTTGCGCTATCAATAATAAAATTACCGAAGTTGACATCCCTAATCAAAACATAACATAGATGATAGCTGGCTACATTAGTTGTATGAAGTCACAACAGTTCCTTAAATATTACATGAATAGTTACACTTTTTGTACATTTGCTGCAGGTTACGTGCTGTCATGACTCCGGTATCTCCCACCGCCAGGTGTCTAGCTGGACTGGTTAAATCTATGAGAGGGACAGATTGAAAAACTGACTCTGCACACCGATGTGTGTTCTCTGTTTGTTTGTTGACGAGGCGCAGTGATTATGAGAGGTGAAGCCATGTAATTTGACAGAACAGTGTGCAGATTTGACTATGTTCAGTCTGTCCCTACCTGCTGGGTGGCTAACTAGCCAGCTGTCTGCGGATATCAGGCTGATGTCTTGTCAAGAAACATAAACATCACGAGCAGATGAATCAGCGTGCTGACTTTTCTGCTCTGTGTTTGCTCTTCTAAGTCGAAATGTCCAGCACTGACAGTCTATAGGTGTATGCATATATTTTGACAGCCTGCAGGTTTTGTAGATCTTTATTATTGCATATAAAGTCCCATATGATGTTTCAATCATGTCTTAGTCATATTGCATTTTTCAGGGACAAAAAAACCTATTGAAATTGTGAATTGACCCCATGCAGGAGATTTTATTTTAATGCCATATAGCCTAGCCCTATGTGGTTTAAAGTATTTCTAAGGAGGTCATAAACAAAAAAGGAAATTAGAAATGTGCTGCAGGTGAGCCAACAATCACCACACAATGAGCAAGTTGGGGTTCAGATATCCCCTCCTTAATCTTTTGATCTGGGCCGTAAAGTATACCCCTGTAGCCCCTGCGAGGTGGGAGGCCCCTGCAGTCCCCATCCCTGCCCGTCAGTCGACATGATAAGAATAGAAAAACAAACTCTGAGCTCTCTTTCACTGGACGCTGAAGCTGTTAGGGTGCAATCTGGGCTCTCCCTCACCTGATGCTATGCCTGATGTAGCCATGGCTATTCCATTACTTTACTCTGCCTGTGACTGTTGCACGATCCCTCTCAAAACTGAAACTAATTAAAACATAACTGAGAAGCACCTTGGCCCAGGAGAGACTGTCAGGGCTGGCCATCCTGAACACTGAAAATTAACACCTCACAGTGTGGACTCCAAGAGGTAGGCATGGGATTTAACTAAGTGACACACCAGAAGGTGTGCACAGGTAAACTCACCTGCCTGTAAGAAACAGACAAGCTGCCATAGTCCTATTGCTAAGATGAACATATATTCACAGTTGATGTAATCTTTGGAGCTCTGTTTGAGAAACTGATTCAAAGTATTTTGGCATTAGAGGAAAAGCTTTTTTCTCAGTACAGTTGTGTAACAGGTTGAGTCGAGTGAGCAGGTGGGCTTTTAACTACAAGTTTGAGAATTAAGTCGTGTGCTCTTAGACAGTAGCCCCTTTTCCATAGAGATTGTGTTATAGGGCCGCTACAAAGTCCCTTCTTTATGCTGCCTTTGCATTTTTACACAGAACCAAACAACAGCGGCATTATGCCGTTCCAGTGTGTGATTTTAGGTAGCGTGCAAGCATTGCAAAAGCAAAAGAGGTGTGACTGGTGTGACATGTAACTCAACAGCATCGAACTCTAGTATGACATATAAAAGACGTGTTGGCATGTTTCTAAAAAATACAAATGGCATTATCTTGGCAATAACATTTACCATATGTGTAATATGGCGGCTGATCTTAACCTCTGCTCAGAGGGCAAGGACTTCCTGAGTTTTTCAGCTACTGTTTTACATCTTTGAGTTAGCTGCTAACTGCGAACAGCTACTTTTTACATCTCCTGAGGTGGGTCGCACACACAACACGTCAAAACATCGCACCTGTGCCGCCCATGATCCCATCCTGCTGGCTGTTCCATTCATGCTAACCTTATTTATGCACAGCTACTTCCTCTGATGCCTGCTTAAAGGCGAGACAATTCTGTCCTCCATTCCGTGACTGTACCTTTTATACAGAGCGGTGCGGCAGCGTAACAGCGTGAAATCCCCTCCTTGGTGAAGCAGTGTAAAAGGGGCTGATAAGTAATGAGGAGGAGTCAGTTTTAGAGTACGGGTTGTGAACGGATCCAGCAATCGTAGCCATCACAGGATCAGCACCTTTGTGACCCTTTATAGAGCTCCAACAGTTTCATATTGACTCAGTGCATTTAACTTCATAAACTGTGTCCAGTGTTCTGATGTGGTCTGTTCAGTTTTGGTTTTGGTTTTGAAATGATAGGTATCCTCACTAGGAAGGATTTTGAAATTCGCCTGCTTTGTGCTGCAGGAAAGGGGCCCACTCAGGGTTAGCTGCAGGGGGCCTCACGTGTCACGGTGCTGCTTTTGATAATCAATTTTTTCTATAGTTGTAAATCTGGTAAATGGGAACAGTTTTCACTGACTACTGGAAATACAGCATCACTAAATCTGCAACATCATTAGGTGTTTTTCTGGTTCTATGCTTGTTATAACCTACGTGACAAATCAACTCTTGTCCGTAATGCATTGTGTCAGATAAGACATCTGCTGCATCACATACCAACATTGTTTTGTTTCTTATCTCTCTCTCATCTTCCAGTCAGAGGCCAACAGGCTTCTCCCTGCACCTGGGATGGTGCCATGTGACAGAGCGGCCGTGGAGCCATAACCCAGCCACCACTACTGCTCCATCACTTTGACTCCAAGCTGTTTGGCCACCACTGATCTCGCCGCCCGCCCCCCTCCCAGTCGCCCCTGCCTCCCTTTATCTTTGCTCTGAGCCCTGGACAAGGCCGACCACAGCCAACACATGACTCACCCACTGGAGCCCTAGATCAAGTAAGTAAAGTATGGCTGCAATATGTCTCACTATAAGCCACAGGTGAATACAGTGTTGCAGCTCACAGCTTACATATATTTTGTGTACTTTTCTTCATTTCATATGTAACTGCTTATTATTCAACACTGATTCTCACTGAATATTCCCAAGTTATTCACATTATATACTTTTTTTGGACTCAAAATACATGCTTTATGTATTATTTTAGTGTGCGTACAGAGCTTCTAACTAAGGCTTGAGGCCATGTTTGTAGGATTGCAGTGGTAGAGGTGAGCAGAGGTCAATATTTAATATTCAGAGAAGTAAAACAAGACACAGGAGCTGCTTATTTTGCTGTATTGAGCTGAAAACGAGCCATGGATGTGGTGTGCACAAAAACCAGCAATCCCAACCCCCCCAAAAATCAGTTTACATTGAAATAAAAGAGAGATGCAAAAGCAAATCCTCACATTTGAGATGCTTGAACCAGAGAATATTTGGTATTTTTCATGACAAATGAGTGTAATGAGTGTGAACGTTAAATGATTAGATTGCATTTCTGTTAATTGCTTAATTGTTTGGGCAGCAGTTTCTAACAGCTAGTCCATCAGTTTGCTTCAATATCAATATGCTTTTGCGATTATAATACCTACCCTGAATACAGTGGTAGAAAGTGTCCAGACCTCTGCACTTTTTTTCTTATAAACTTGATTTGAAATTGTTTTACTTGCCCTCAGTCTTTGCACATATCTCCATAATGACTTATCCAAAATGCAGCTTGCAAGAAGTATTAAGAGGAATCAATTCAAAACAGACAAGTAGCAAGTAAACAAGTGTGAGCAGTGCCACAACATGCCAGAAGTGCTGTTCATTTTTTATTAATTTACAGGGTGTAAATGCAGTTTGAGTTATATTGACTTTTTGTGTTTTACTGTCGGCAATTATTTTGGCCCTTTACTGTATGTGTGTAGCAGAGCAAACTGAAGCTGTGTCAAGATCTGCAGTAAAAGATGATAAACACCTAGAACACTGTCAATTGTCATGATATAAAAACCATGAAAAAGGCTCTGGGTGGAAATAACTACAAGTAAGACACAAAACAAAATGCATAATTGGCTGGATTTGAAGCTGTCTTATCAGAGACTTAATCTGTCTGTCAATTTAATTTCGCAAAGGAGCAGTTGGTTCAGGCTAAATTGATTGTTACGAGAAAGGAAAAAAAGGAGAAAGATAACGCCTCTCTCTTTTTCGCTGGTCTTTATGCATTATTTCCCTTAGACTTGTGGCCCCAAACTGGCTGCGTGGCTCTGAACATCCCAGCATGTCTGACTCGGCCTCCTGTGGTGTTTCACGAGTTGAAATGAGGACACACACACACACACACACACACACACACACGTTCACACTTGAAATTACACAGAGACCAGTGGAGTTCAAAAAATGATGAATATTCATGTGGAATTATCAGTCTGGCAGCGAACGTGTTTGAGATTGAAAATGCTCTGTGAAAAATTAGGGGAGCTATGACACACACACACACACACACACACACACACACAGAGGCACTGAGAGGCAGATATGCAGATTTAAATGGGTGACTTCATACACTTGTTATTTAAAAAAATATTCAGAGTTTTACTGATATATTTATAGATGTGTTTTGTCTATTTTTTAGGATTTAGAAGTGTTTTTTTTTTTTTGTTTTTTTTTTTTTGCCCTAGAAGACAGACAAGGGACAGCTCTGCTTCTGTGGACAAATATATGTTGTTTTATATTCAGCTTATACCTATTGCATCATTTCTAAGGAACATTCTCCTTGTATCTCACACTACAGCTCACGTTTCTGCTCCCGTTGTTACACACATGAGAACAGTGGCAGCAGTCCATTGGCTGCAGCTCACCACTACTTACGTTATGTATCTATACACTGTGGAGTTTGGCTCAGTGTGTGGGGAGCTGTGTGCAGTCCAAGGTTATTTCTTACTCTTGGTAAACATCCTGGATCTGGGTGTACACAGATGGCGGCAGACAATAGACTGGAACCCTAACAAGGTTCTTGGTTGAGAAGCAGGGACACCGGTGTTAATTGTTATTTTTTACAAAATATACTTGCATTACAGCTGACCATTTTTAACCATGTTCTCTAGTGTTTTTAACATTTTCAGTGCTGCTGTTGGTTCCTGTGAATGTCACAGTATGCAAATCAATTTGCAGAGATTCTGTTTAGAGCAACAGTCACAGAAATAAATTGTGATTAACTCAGATAATTGATTAATGATTTTAATAGCCAAAAAATCTAAAGGTTGCAGCTTTTTAAACGTGGATAGTCTGCGTTTTTGTTTTGTTTGTTTGTTTTACGGGTTATATACAGGTTAAGAAATTTGATGATGACATCTTGGACTCAGGGAACTATTTTGATACATGTTTAATCTTAAATATTTGCACCTTCCAGCCTCTTAAATGTGAGAACTTGCTGATTTTTCTTCCCTTACATTAAATCTTTGGTTTTTAGATTGTTGGACTTCAAAAACAATTAGATGACGTTGACTATAAGTGTGTAAACACCACTAGTGATGCAGCAGTAGTGTGGCCAGCTACATTATTGAAGAGTTGCCCAATTGCTCCTTGACATGGTTATGTTGTCGTGGCATGGTGTGTGTCTGCTACTTGCCCCAAAGCACCTCGACTCAATCAATATGTTTACATGCAGCTTGAGAAAATCAAATTATTGGCTTAGTCCGACTGAAACAGGACTTTTAAATGCACGTAAGCAGCTTAGACTGACTGAAATTGGACTATCCGTAGCTCGACTAGCACACCTAGATAATTCGATTGAACATCAAACTATTGCTGCATGTATCCACTTAGTCCGGCGTTCTGCACATGCACCATTTTTTCTGTCGTGGGCTTTCACCCGGAACAAGAAGAAGATGACGTAGCCGCAGTGCGGTAACTCCCAGAAAAACAAACAAACACCATGGCGACCAAGAAGCAGAAGACGCACTTCTGGACGGACGAGGAAACTACATTCATGCTCCGACAGCTAAAGGACCTAAACATTTTGAAGTTTATGGATGGTCGGAAACAGCAACATCCATCTCCGCCATCATCATTCGTCGTTAGCTTCCTTTTCGGGTCAACCGGAGCTAGTTCAATGCGCACGATATTAAAAAGGACACAGCACCGCCTATCGAGGCGGAGTCAGATGTACTTGGTCAGAAATTTGATTTTCTCTTCTGCATGTATACTCAGTCAAGACAGGAAGCCCGACTTGACTGATTAGCCGAACTATGAGTTTAGCCAGACTACTGCATGCATGTAAATGTACTGAGTGTCATCCAAAGTTTGTATCTGGTCAAAAATATATCTTTGCTTTTCATCAGTGTCTGAGCCCCATTTTAACATCACATTTCACCGCCCCATTGCATCCCCATGTGCACCACAATGCTCAAAAAGCTAGCATAGTGTCAGCTAGCTAAGCTAAATAACACAGCACCACAGCTAGAAACAAAAACATCTGATTAGCTGACACTTAACCGCATCATTGGAGCGCTGAAAAAAGTTGAATTCAACTCAACTTTGATTTGTAGCGCGTCACACCCGTTTGAGCAACAAGTGTCGGGCGTCAGTTAGAATCTTCATGTCACCATCTTCCATTGACAATATAACTTGTAGCCTGTTGCTCGTAGTGTGAACACAGCATCAGGCTATTGGCAGTTGAGGTGGGCATTTTTCATTGTTTTGTACGTTTTACAGAGCAAATAATCAACTCATCAATGAGGTAATCAGCAGATTATTTAGTGATTTAATAACGACTGTTGCTCTAATTGTGTGGGAATGTTCCACTAATGGATTAATCAGGGAAATAAGAGATCAATTGATAATGAAAAGTGTTGGTTTCAGGCCTGATTTGTTTACTTTCCTCTTTGTCGTTGTTATTGTTTGCAGACTTCTCAAATCGGTCTTCTCAGACTACATTAATACACGAGAATAACATAGACATGTTGAGGTGAGGCAGATGGAGAACAATTAAAGTGATTGACAGCAGTTGGAAACACTGGGGATGTGAGTATTTCACTGTCGGTACACCAGAGGGTCAGATGAATTAAGTGAGAGATGTGAGATTCCACGCATAAGAAGTGCTTTCAAAATGTTCCGTGGTGGATTTTGTGGTTAATGTACGCGGTCTAACTTGTTTTATAATTGGATTGTTTTGCTCGTTATTGTTTGTTTGGTATTGTAGCTGAGCAGAACTTGGGAACACCTTTCTGCCAAATATGCATGCAGCATATTTGGCAGCATTGTGTCGGTGGCAGAGCAGTGAAACTCTGCATATGTTGGCTCAAACAGATTGTCCATCATAAGGTAATGGAAAGTTGTCTTTTTATGTGGCTCCTGGGTAAAAAAGAAACGGTAAGCACATGGTTGCACCTGTAGTTTCTGGTATGTGGGTGTTTTGTTTTGGTTTTTTTTCTTCTGGCAAAATATGCATAAGTGGAAAATGTAACCCCATCTGTACTGTCCTGATTTCTCCAAGAAACAATGTGAAGGCAGTTAAATAATTTATCTGCATTTTAACTTAAGTTGTAAACTCTGTTCACTGTTGTAACACAGTCAAAACCCACTCATCTCTCAGAAAAAAAACTCTTGTTAAATGCGATTGGATCAATTTGATTGAGATCAGTTATACATGAAGACAAGCTACTATTTTGTTCCGGGAAGTAATATTGTAAAATTAAGCAAATCAAATTACTTTGTCCTGTTTAAGGTCAGGAAATTTGGTTCAATACATGCCCTTCTGGCGGCATGGTGGTGCAGTGGTTAGCATTGTTGCCTCACAGCAAGAGGGTTCTTCCCCACCTAGGGAGGGGGAGCCCTTCTGTGTGGAGTTTGCATGTTCTCCCCATGTCAGTGTGGGTTTTCTCTGGGTACTCCGGCTTCCTCCCACAGTCCAAAGAAATGCAGGTTAATTGGTGACTCTAAATTACCCGTAGGTGTGAATGTGAGTGTGAATGGTTGT